CCTCAAATACTCAGTCAGATAACCAACCTGAATGTCGTTACTCCTTGCGTACTCGACAAGTAATGAGAAACCCCACAAGTATCTTTTGTAGATACTCGTTCAAATATCCCTCAGTCAAGGCATGTGTTAGCCATTGCAGAGGAATTCGATCCTCCCAGAGATGATAACCATTCTGCACATGTAAACCTCACCCTAGCAGAATTGGGTTTAAATGTACATAGTCTGTATAACTAGATGTCCGAGATGAAGTTAACTGTCAACTGTTTGTTATTAACTGATTAGTTTTTTTTTCAGAATTTTTTTTTTTCGTATTCACGTTCCCTCCGTATTCTGAGAATTGACAGTAATAGTCTGAGTGCACCAGATGCCTTTGCTGTTAATTTCACCTTGTATATATATATATATATTTATTCTTCCTCAGAATCCGTAGAGTGCATGAATACAGATCAATCGATCAATTCCATCCATATTGTACAATGAATTGTTCTTATAGTTTGTAATGAATTAAGTTAAAAGTGATTACATTAACACCCATTACGTAAAATTCATTTTGTTAACATTCATTATGATACCATCCATTAGTTCTAAGTTATATATATGAATTTGTTATTGTATAGAATCAGCCCAGAACCACCTGCCTGTTCAGCCTATAGATAGTAGTGTATGTTGAGACGACATACGTAACATGACCGAGCTGTCAGCATAGTTGCTGATCCCTGTGTTATATAGCATAGCATATAGTATCAAACATGTGCTTTAGATAGGAGATCCCTTTTAGGCCTGTGACTTTGTGCGACGTCACGGGATGCACATGTGTACGTTCGTACCTCTGCCTCGCTCTCAGTCGGCGTAGACATCCAGGCTAGGACAGGCAGAGGCTGGGCTCCATCTCCCATCATCTCAGTCTGACATTATATATTGTTACCATCCAACAAGTGTGTCTACCTTCAACCCTCGATATCTCCATTTAAGAACCCCTACAATATGTTCAGTAGGAACAGATATATCCCACAAGTATTTAATTTCGAATTTTTAAGGTTTATAGACTATAAAATTTATAGCCTATAAAATTTGTAGCCCAATCTGGCAATACTGATAATCATTTGTGGGTACAACAAAGTTGCCAGATTAGCCATTTGGGGGTAACGTGTTAATGTTCCAAGTATTACTCGGCGTTGCATGGTAACTTTTTTTTTTATCAAATTTACTAACATTTTGTGTCCATATAACGTGAGTATGTGACTTGATCTTGGCGGGCCGTGTGAAAACCTTTGGCAGACCACATGCGGCCTGTGGACCGTAGTTTGCCCACAGCTAGTGTAGATGCATCTGAAGCCAAATTAAGAAGAGCTCCTGTGGACAGTGTTGTACAAATATTTTCCTTTCTTGTTAATCTGACAGCAACTAAGCAAGAAATTCAACAAGGTGTTGAACTGTTGATGGCAGCATAATACTCAGAAGATGTTCACCTGAAACTTACTGATGAACTTTTGCACTTTCAGTTGTATGTGAGACCTACAGAAGATTAGTCACTGTCTCATATAGACTTTCATCAAGTTATATACAAGCAAAACATTCAAATATCCTTCCTTAAAGTAGAAGCAATCTTGCGACTATTTATCGTACTGGCCACTAACTGCTCAAGAGAGGTCTTTTCAAGCCTCAAAAGACTTAAAAATGAATTAATGACTACAATATCTGAAGAAGGTTGTCCACACTGAACAATCTGTGCACTAAAAGTGACAAACAGACAAACAAATTTTGATGAAATTTTGGATGATTTTGCTATGAGGAAGGCTAAAGAAGAAAACTTTTTGATGATTGTGATTTCTTTATTTCTTAATATGTATTTTAAAAGAATATATGGATTTTTCTAAAAATTTCTGCTTACTCCACAAAATGTTTACATTATTATTATAATCAAAAAGAAGAGCTAAGCCACAAGGGCTATACAGCAAAATGTTTACAAAGCTCGGTTATTGCAGAAGTTTTTCACAGTGTTAATTTTAACATTTATGCTTTTTTCAATCTTCAATCACTATGGTATTTAACAATAACATCTTATGTCCTTTAGAGGAGGGATTGTGAATTGCGGAATTATAAACACCCGTCATCATCCTTGGTTTCATTGAATTTTGTTTAAAACACTCTTCCTTCTTCCTCTAGTGGTGAAGGTTGGGGACTCGGAGGGGCCTCACAGGTGGAATAGCCTAGGGTCTTTCTTCATCTAAATCTGGCACTGATTATATGTATCGTGTGATTAAAACCTACAAGCTTGTTTTCCAGCGAGACCTATTATTAGCTCTGTGAGTTCGGCCATATATGCCCTGTCAAAATGGTTGGTAAAAATACAAACTTCAATGTTTGGTAACTTTTCTGAAGCCCACATATAAAAAATGTTGATCTTTCTGACAAAATGCAAAATGTTAACATGTCTAATGATTTTATGCTAGCAAGTTTTGACGTCATGGCGTTTTTCACCCAAGTAGCTGTTCCTGATATCTTATCCGGACGAAGAATTAGACGAGTTCTCCATGCCATTCGATAAGAACACACCATTATTGAGCTAATTAAGTTGTGAGTAGTTGATTGTAAGTCTGAGTTTGAAAGGCGATATTACGCTCAAAGGTAGGGAATGGCTATGAGAAATCCACTGTCTCCCCTATAAAGCAATTTGTATATGGAGTTTTTCTAGGCTAGGCTGTTGAAAGACATCCTGGCATAAAAGCTAAATGGTTTAGATATATGGGTGACATCTTGTGTCTTTGGCTGAATGATACGGCCCTGGATACATTTTTACGGAGACTTAACACTCTGGTCCTGTCTATTAAATTCACCATGGAGAAAGAAGTGGAATCTAAACTTCCATTCTTAGATTTGCTGATACACTTGGTTGATAGAAAGGTCAAGTTTATAGTTAAAAGCATCTTGATAAAGAATTCTCCTCAATGCTTTGTTGGTGGTGTTTACAGGATCAGTTGAAATGGCTGCAACTTATCTTATGTGGGACAAGTCAGCAAACCTCTAGATGTCAGGATATCACATCACCGATATTCAATATGAACTGCACAGGAATCAAATGCGATTTTAAACCACATTAGGGTCTGCAATAACTCTGCAAATTGGTCAGAAGCCAGAGTCTTGGTTTGGTGCTCCTCTTATATGAAATATTGTAGAATTGGTAATTATAAAACACGGTAAATGTTCATTATATCATTTACTACTACTACCAATCATCCCGAACTCATTGGATTGTTGTAAATGCAGCTCTAAACTAATGAATTGAGTATTATTTGCTACTCCCAATCACTCTTATGGATAAATCTGCATTTACGTGATGGTGAACTGGGCCAGCCTCTGCAAATAGGAGGGTTTTTCGATTTTTGCTGCTTCCCCATTTTTTTTTTTTGTATGCTGTGAAATCCTCCCTACTAATATTATAATAAAAACTAAGCTCTAAACCCACAAGAGATCCATATTAGCAGATGCCAGATACCTTTGAGATCAAAATATTAAAGCCTTTTATAATGATACGATATGATGTCTGATGCATGCTGTTGATAGTTGTCATGTCATGTTGAGAAATGGTTTACCAGCTAAGGTTAAAGTTTAAATATAGGAGGAACTCATCTGATGAGATGGCTATCGCCCACACAGCTGCCCCTGCAGGCGAGGTCTTAAGAAGGTGTCTTGACCACTTTGCAACGGGCTGTAACAGAGTACATTATGTATGATTATAAATTACCCCTAGGGGGTGTGTTAGGTAAGACACATATGCAACAGTTAGGTATCTTTATTTCGAAACGTTTCGCCTACACAGTAGGCTTCTTCAGTCGAGTACAGAAAAGTTGATAGAAGCAGAAGATACTTGAAGACGATGTAATCAGTCCATCACCCTTAAAGTTTTGAGGTGGTCAGTCCCTCAGTCTGGAGAAGAGCATTGTTCCGTTGTCTGAAACAATATGAAGTTGAAGTGACAGGATGGAGCCTTATATAGTGCCAGGAGGTGAGACACTATATAAGGCTCCATCCTGTCACTTCAACTTCATATTGTTTCAGACAACGGAACAATGCTCTTCTCCAGACTGCTATCAACTTTTCTGTACTCGACTGAAGAAGCTACTGTGTAGGCGAAACGTTTCGAAATAAAGATACCTAACTGTTCATATGTGTCTTACCTAACAATCTGTCGTAATTTTTATACTTTATGTTCAACCCTACGGGTGTAGGCAGCATATTCTTCACTGAATTACAAAACCTTACGTGTTGGGCTCAAAGTCCACAACACACTGCATGCGTAAGTTATTACATAATCCTTGCGACACAAACTCACAGTTCCCCCATACAGAGGAATTTCGTAACTACTTGCTCTTCATGAGCTATGTGTTCTTAAAACCTTTACAGGTATCGGTACTGAAGAAGCTGAAGTGTCCTGGATGTCTATGTCTTCCAAGTCTAGGATACCACATTTGTAACTGTCACAAGTGTCCTTATGTTACATCTTACACAAAGAAGCTGAACCACTTCTCTAAGGTTATCGTGTTTTTGACGCTTTCCACTACGCATGGTATGTTCTTGTTAGTATCCTGGACAGTGTGACTCCTGTAGGGATGTCTTGCCTCACAGCGTAATGCGCTGCATTGCTCAGACATTAAAGGAAAAGTGACTTTAATTTTGCTTCCTTGCTAACTTCCATGAAGCAAAGCGATGTTTGATTCACTAAGCATACACAATTAGTGATTCATGAGTGTTGTTGAGTGAATAAGTTCACAGAAGATGGATCAGTGTTTCTTTGTGAGGTTTCCTGGCGACAGTGTGACTCCCAGTAGGGTGAAAATCTGGCCTCACAGCGTCCTATGCCGCTGCAATGCCTCTAGAACATAAAGGAAAAGCTGACCTAGTAATTTTTGCTTCCTTGCCAAACTTCCTCCATGAAGCAAAGCAGAATGTTTGATTCTTGCTGTCTTAAGCATAGACAACAATTAGTGATTCATGAAGTGTTGTTGAGTTCGAAATGAAGGTGCTCAAGGAGGAGCTGATGTTACGTGTTTGTGACTGGAGGCTCGTCGTGGCAGCCTCGGGGCCTGGGGCGTTTGCCTGCTGACGAAAGTACCGCTACGACGCACGCCCGGGCGTGGGGTCACCCTGTCAGTCTCACTAACTACACCTACTTCACCGACAGACTTTTTCTTGAAGCTTCGGGCTAGAGCTCCTAAGCCTGACATTGCTTTCCTCAGAGACCCTGGCCGATGTTCAGGTAATCTTTGGAAGGGAACTTCTCGTTCCACTCTTGGCATATTAAGAGAGAGAGAACGATGGACCAACTGTGATGAGAGCCGTGGAACACGCAGTGATCCCACCCTTGAAGGTAACGTGTGATCTAGGAACGATCTCGAGGCTGATTTTTCTGTGGAAGTCGAAGTAGTCGGGCGGGAGGGGCTCACAGCTTCTGTTGCCTCTTTCTCTGCCTCCAACGCTTGCTCTCTGCTTTCAGGCTTGGCTATATCATTATCATGACTGGGCTTGACTTGTTGGAATAAGCCAGGCCCACTCTTCATCGTAAGTACTGCTTTAGAATATATCGGTGAAACGGGGTCCGTCAGTTTTCCGTAGTCCGTAGAATTCATGCGACGACTGACCGAACCAATGACACGTTTGCTGGCCCTACGTCCACGCTGCGAATATGTCCGTACTAACCTTCCTCTGTAATTCCCAGACGTGTGCGAAATAATATATGGTTCTTGGTTCAGTATGTTCTTGTGATGATCATCAACAGATGATAGGGGTTTTGCAGACATTTCAGGAGTCTGGCAGTTACTACTGTGGCTCTCCTCTTCAAAGTCTTGAGCAGAAGAATTGTCAGTCGATCTGGAATCATAAGTATCTGAATAAAGGTCCAAATGCTCCGAAGATCCATCAAATGTGGTCCAGTGTTCCCTACATATGCTGTCAATTACGTGTACGTCAGTAGCTGGAGCCTGAGTCTCTCTCTCAGTTATTGTGACAGGAAGGGGCGTGGACGACAGAGGGCAAGCATGAACGGCATCATCTAAAGTATCTTCGTCATGCCCCTCATCACCAGCTTCCTTTTGTTTAGAGTGAAGAGCAATTTTCATGATGGCAGATGCTTCGGGCATGATTTTACTGAGGTTACCACTATCTGGAGAATTACTGGGCAACGTATTGGCCCTGTTTTCACTCGCAGTTTCAAGCTGGGAGGAAATATTCTTTTTCTCTGTTGAAGTATGATGGACATCTTGAGTGTTAGATCTTGAAGACCCTAGCAAAGAACTGTTTGGTGCTTCTTTGTCGGTTCTGTTTCTAAATATAAAATCTTCACAAATGAAACTATCTGAGGATGTCCACTCGTGACGGTCAGTACTGACGCTATCAGTAGTCTTGGTGAGGAAGCTGGATCTTGGTTCAGCTGCAACATATGAGGTGGAAATGGAGCAACTCTGAATGTTTGAATCAGATGTAATATTTTCAATGTTTTCAGAAAGTTCTCTAAAATTGTACACATTTTCTTCGTTACGCTGTGGAATGTTTCTGTGAGTTCCTCTCCTTGTTCGAGATGAGAGGGGACTGTCAATTATTATTGATTTAAGTTTTTCGTTGTCTGCATCATGATCTTTTGATGGTTCTTTTATAACGAACGATGGGCAAAACGTATGTTTATCCCTTGCGGCACTTTTAATTTTGCATCCTTCACCTTCACGCCCCACGTTCTCCCATCCTTGAGGTCTCTTCTCCGACTGATTTGATGAATACACCTTATTTTTACCCCTGAGTGAGTCCCACCTGGTTTCGAATGACGTGTCATTACTAATTGTTGTATTTTCCTCTACATATGTTAAGCCGAGTGCGGGATAAGTGGCTGTACCATTATTTTCACTGCTAACAACAGGGATGTTGCCTGCCGTTTTAAAAGGTCTACAAGAGGAAGTGCCCTGACTCCATATCACTTCTACGGCTGACCCTGAAAGTTCATCACGGGTGTCACTACTGGCTGTGTGTTCTCGAGAGAGAGACTGTTGGCTCCGCGGCTTTACCTTGTACGGTCCACTTACCCCGGGAGACCTTGCACTACAGTCCTCTAGTGCACTCGCACCCGGCTTTCTCTCCTCAGCGTCTTTGATCCTACCTGCAACAAAAATGTTATATTATCATTCAATTGTTATTTAGCATAGTATTAATTCTTGTTAGAGGGTGAAGGTATCTCGTAGCTAGGTTGGTAAAGCACTCAGCTCACACATTGACTGTCCATAGTTAGATCCCCGGTACGCACTCAGCTCACACCTTCAGTGTCCGTGGCTCGATCCCTGGTACAAGTGGAAATATTGGGCGTATTTCCTGAAGATACCTGCTGTCCCTGTTCATCCAACAGTAATTATTAGGTATTTGGGTGTTAGCCGACTGGTGTGGGTCGCATCTCGGGGGACAAGATGCTCTACATAACAAGGGGCTTTCTATATAGTACGTCATTCATGTCAGTTAGATGTGTAAGTTGTATAATGTACTTGTAGAAATAATAATAATAATAATAATAATAATTACTATCATTATTATTATGTTTACTAGTCTTGCACTAGAGATAAAATCGGTAATCATTTTATGGAATGTTTTGAAATCACAGTGTTTTATTATTTAATAAAATTCTCATATGAAAATTTAAACAAATCAAAACATGTTGAATATTTTATGAAGCTTGAAGCGTCTACCTTTTCTGGCCGATTTTATGAAGGACTTGAAAAGTTTGAACTTGCTGGCGGGTTTAACGGGAAGACAGTCCTGCACCAAACTCATACGTCCAACTGCATTGCTGACATCCAAATTATCAGCAGTGTCACCAGCACCAATAACAGCAACAGAAACAGCAGCAGCAGTAGCAATAGGGGCATCAACAAGAGGGAGAACAGCAGCAGCAGTAGCAATGCCAGCATTAGAAGTAGCAGCAGCAGCAGCAGCAGCAGCAGCAGCAGCAGCAGCAGTAGCATCAGTAGTATTGTTAATGTACGTCAAATGCTTGAGATAATAAAGGGGAGAAGTGGGAGGGATGGGTGCGGGAGGGTGGAGAACCAACCGACCTGGACGTTTTGGTGGACCTTGGATCAGGGAGTGTCCAGCTGAGCCACCTGCCATCATCACCCTCTCTGCTGAACTCTGCTGCCTGCAAGCATACACACTAAATAACATCTTTCTCCTGTGAAGGGATAAAGTAAAAGAATAAAAAAAAAAAGAAACTTAAAATAAAAAACGGAGATTATTGTGTAAAATATTCCCAACGCTTTGATATTATTGACAGCTTTTGACACACAGTATTATTATTATTATTATTATTATTATTATGGAAAGTCATAGGGGTTATAAAGCGCCTTGGAAATAAGAGGGAATCAGTGTAAGGGAGAACTTTACACATGAAGAGCAAGTAACCAGCAGCAAGGAGGTTCCCTCGACAGGGTAAGCTGAGAATAATGTTTTATCCTGGCAAGGGACAGGCAGGCAGCTGGACGGGTACACTGTGTCAAAGCTATTTATTTCATGATTGGCTGTTAGTATTTTTGTTTAAGGTAGGTATGATAAAGCCTGGTGCTCTGCAACATAATATTTAGGCGATTCTTCAAGTAGTGCGGCTTATCATAGCCACCTTGGTGATTCTTCAAGTAAGGTGGCTTACACAGCCACCTAGGTGGTCAGGTGGTGGTATAATAAGTGTGTGGATTCAATGTTGTGTCTAGTGGGAAATTTGGTCAATGGTTTTAATGTAACTTAATAATCAAATTATATACATATAGGATTACTTTGTTAACATAACTTTTCATTAAATCTTCCTAATAAATCAATCATTATTTTTGCTGGAAACATATTTAGTAATTTACTTGTGAATTCATTTATGAAATCTGTCTAGTGAGTGAATTTCAATATTTCATTTAGGTATATTATCCCCTGGACAATTAGATATTTTCATCTCGAGATCAGACAAGTGTATTACAAATTTTAAGCTCATTGATTCTGAGTTGGGTTGATTATATATTATAAGGAGTAGCGCTTTACGTATGTTATCTCTTGTCATTTAGCGTTGTAGGAACACACATAATTTACACAAGTCCTTCAGAACAGACTTACAGATTCACAGTAAAATACAGCACTTGTGTGAAGTTTAAACTGACTTGTGGATCAGGCAGGGTTTAATTAACTAGCAAGTCAGTTCTAAAATCAGGAAGCCAGTGCTCACACCAGTGGTCCATGGAATCCAGTGCTCACACCAGTGGTCCATGGAATCCTTTATAAACCAGTGGTGATTATTATTATAATCAAGGGGGAAGCAATAAACCCGGAGGTTTATACAGTGCCTGGGGGGGGGGGATGTGGAAGGCATTCAGGCTTAATTCGGGGAACTGGAGCACAGATCCAATTCCCTAAATCAAGAGCCCCTCACCAACATCAAGGAACCTTCCTTGAGGGGAAACCAGTGGTGAGATACCTGGCATGCTACACTCAACCCTCGATATAACGGATTCTGAAAATTATGAAGAAAATCCACTGGGTAAATTATACTTTTAACTTATTTATTTTAAATGTTTATTGCAGTATGTTTGTAAACCGAAAGTAAATTACTATATTAGAATATTTTAGTGCATTTATATATTTTATTTTTTTAAGGTTATTCTGATATAACGATCTCTCTTATTAGTGCATTATATCGTTGGCTTATGGTAGGTTTATCACTGGTTTAACATAACTGTTCCTTAAGTTGTTCACAACCATATTATAATTCTTTAGTTAAAAATTAACGTTAACTGTTAACATTCACTGAGACAAAATGAACAGAAACCTTCAGATACAGTTACGATACAGTGGAGTTTAAGGTACAGACATATTCATCAGCTTGTCAACACATCTTGTTTCCGTTGTTTACTGGAGGCATTTTCATGTTTACGGTAAGTCCCAACCACGATCAACACTGGAGGGTTTGCGTGGTTTCTACGGTAAGCCCCAACCACGATCAACACTGGAGGGTTTGCGTGGTTTCTACGGTAAGCCCCAACCACGATCAACACTGGAGGGTTTGCGTGGTTTCTACGGTAAGCCCCAACCACGATCAACACTGGAGGGTTTGCGTGGTTTCTACGGTAAGCCCCAACCACGATCAACACTGGAGGGTTTGCGTGGTTTCTACGGTAAGCCCCAACCACGATCAACACTGGAGGGTTTGCGTGGTTTCTACGGTAAGCCCCAACCACGATCAACACTGGAGGGTTTGCGTGGTTTCTGCGGTAAGCCCCAACCACGATCAACACTGGAGGGTTTGCGTGGTTTCTGCGGTAAGCCCCAACCACGATCAACACTGGAGGGTTTGCGTGGTTTCTACGGTAAGCCCCAACCACGATCAACACTGGAGGGTTTGCGTGTTTCTACGGTAAGCCCCAACCACGATCAACACTGGAGGGTTTGCGTGGTTTCTGCGGTAAGCCCCAACCACGATCAACACTGGAGGTTTGCGTGGTTTCTGCGGTAAGCCCCAACCACGATCAACACTGGAGGGTTTGCGTGGTTTCTACGGTAAGCCCCAACCGCGATCAACACTGGAGGGTTTGCGTGGTTTCTACGGTAAGCCCCAACCACGATCAACACTGGAGGGTTTGCGTGGTTTCTACGGTAAGCCCCAACCACGATCAACACTGGAGGGTTTGCGTGGTTTCTGCGGTAAGCCCCAACCACGATCAACACTGGAGGGTTTGCGTGGTTTCTGCGGTAAGCCCCAACCACGATCAACACTGGAGGGTTTGCGTGGTTTCTACGGTAAGCCCCAACCACGATCAACACTGGAGGGTTTGCGTGGTTTCTACGGTAAGCCCCAACCACGATCAACACTGGAGGGTTTGCGTGGTTTCTACGGAAAGCCCCAACCACGATCAATACTGGAGGGTTTGCGTGGTTTCTACGGAAAGCCCCAACCACGATCAACACTGGAGGGTTTGCGTGGTTTCTATGGTAAGCCCCAACCACGATCAACACTGGAGGGTTTGCGTGGTTTCTACGGTAAGCCCCAACCACGATCAACACTGGAGGGTTTGCGTGGTTTCTGCGGTAAGCCCCAACCACGATCAACACTGGAGGGTTTGCGTGGTTTCTATGGTAAGCCCCAACCACGATCAACACTGGAGGGTTTGCGTGGTTTCTACGGTAAGCCCCAACCACGATCAACACTGGAGGGTTTGCGTGGTTTCTACGGTAAGCCCCAACCACGATCAACACTGGAGGGTTTGCGTGGTTTCTACGGTAAGCCCCAACCACGATCAACACTGGAGGGTTTGCGTGGTTTCTACGGAAAGCCCCAACCACGATCAATACTGGAGGGTTTGCGTGGTTTCTACGGAAAGCCCCAACCACGATCAACACTGGAGGGTTTGCGTGGTTTCTATGGTAAGCCCCAACCACGATCAACACTGAGGGTTTGCGTGGTTTCTACGGTAAGCCCCAACCACGATCAACACTGGAGGGTTTGCGTGGTTTCTGCGGTAAGCCCCAACCACGATCAACACTGGAGGGTTTGCGTGGTTTCTGCAGTAAGCCCCAACCACGATCAACACTGGAGGGTTTGCGTGGTTTCTGCGGTAAGCCCCAACCACGATCAACACTGGAGGGTTTGCGTGGTTTCTGCGGTAAGCCCCAACCACGATCAACACTGGAGGGTTTGCGTGGTTTCTGCGGTAAGCCCCAACCACGATCAACACTGGAGGGTTTGCGTGGTTTCTGCGGTAAGCCCCAACCACGATCAACACTGGAGGGTTTGCGTGGTTTCTGCGGTAAGCCCCAACCACGGTCAACACTGGAGGGGAAATAAACAAGCCTCACACCTAAGATATAAGACACTAAACATCTCCAAAGTGACATAAAATCGTAATAACACAACTGCGAACAGATCACTGGCCTCTGAGTTATAAAGATTCATTCGCCATAAGTTCAATCCCCACCCGTTCCGTAGTTTATCTCCAAAGAGTAATGGCTTCATAGTTAATAGCACCGGGGCAGGTATATACCTTATAGACAGACACTGCGTCGTTAGTAACGGTTGCGATTTCTCATTCTTATATAAGATGTTCCACAGCTGTGGGACGAAAGACATCTAAACACCAGTAACTTGCTCTTTCTAGTCTAGTAAACGAATGTAAGTGTTTATTTGTCTCAACAACCTCCCCCCCCCCCCCCCCGCTTATTAATTTCACATAACTTAACGAAGTTCCAATAACTCAAATAAAGTAAATATTTCAGTTAATTAACTATTCAATAAGTCTTGCGTCACAACGTTATGCGTCACCAAGTCTTGCGTCACCACATAATGCGTCACCGTGTTATGCAGCTGTTCCCAAAATCGCCATAGCTCAGTAATAAATTAACTTCATGCTACAAGTTTTTGCATTACTCTTCCAGTACAAAAAAAAAAAAAAAAAAAAAAAAAAGAAACTACATTAGATTTTATATTGTGCTGCCGAAACATTTAGTTTCCTGCGAACTCCAAATCTGTCATGTAAACGGTACGAGTTTATGAGGACCAAGGAACTGGTCCCTCATATATTACCATGACATATCTCATAGGTTATTATGCTGTTTATCTCTAAATTCATCAATAAGTGAACAATTATGATGTTGCTACCGGAAATTGTTTTATTTTGACTTACCTGGCGTCTACCTGGAAGGTATTCCGGGGATCAACGCCCCCGCGGCCCGGTCCATGAAAAGGCTTCCTGGTGGATCAGGGAATGACCAACGAGGCTGCTACTGCTGGCCTCACCTAATCTAACGTACGAATCACAGCCCGGTTGATCAGGCACTGACTTTAGGTATCTGTCCAGCTCTCTCGTGAAGACAACCAGGGGTCTATTGGTAATTACCCTTATGGCTGGTGGGAGGCTGTTGAACAGTCTTGGGCCCCAGACACTTATTGCACTTTCTCTTTGTGTACCAGTGACCCCCCTACTTTTCATGGGGGTATGTTGCATCGCCTGTCAAGCCTTTTGCTTTCGTAGGGAGTGATTTCTGTAAGCAGATTAGGGACCAGTCCATGCAGGACCTTCCAGGTGTATATTATGACGTATCTCTCTCGCCTGCGCTCCACCGAGTACAAATCAAGTGCTTCCAAGCGGCCCCAGTAGTAGAGGTGTTTGA